GGTTCGGCCACTTTTTTCTTATGTTGAATTTCAATGAAATTCGAAACTTTTTATCCGTTAGTTTGATCCCAGCGTGTGATTAATTTTAAAGTTTTGTTTTTGTTGTTGATTAAGCAAAGTAATTGTCTTTCTGGCTTTTACTTGAGAATTGCTGATCTGAGTTTGGTGGATGTCTTGGTTGATTGGTTCTTTTCTTTTTTCGTATTGCTAGTTGTAGTTTTTATCAATCTGTGCTTGAGATTTGAATGAGTCCGAAACTTAAGCTGCTATCAAGAATGTGTTAGTTGATGATTTTGTAAAACATGGAGATCTTTTTCTGAATGAACTATTCTTCTTCAATTCTTTTAATCTGACTGCTTCTGAAAAATAATTTAGTGGTCTTACAGAAGTTATAGATTAGATTATATAAGGTTTACATTGATTACCCCAGGAGAGTTTAATTCATTGATTTGTTGAATCTGCTATGAGAGAGTTTTCCTTTTTTTTTTTTTTCTTGTTGAAGTCTTTTGGGTTTATTATTTGACTCTCACAAACTGCTGCCACCTACCTTTAATTTTATTTGATTTTATTGTTATTAGTTTTTGGATCTGTTAACTTTAGAGGTAACTACAGCACAATCTTTTTTTTTTTGTGGTTTAATTGATTTTTTTATTTTTTATATAAAACAGCCAACTTGGTATCTAAGAGATCCTAGAATGTGAACCGAATTGGTAAAATGTACATGTAAAAAGTTCATAGAAGGTACCGTTTAGCTTGGTTGGTTAAGGGCTTTGGTGGTTGTATGACCTGAAATTGTTTTCCTCCTTCAGAAGAGATATGGGGGAGGGGGGGGGGGGGGGGGGGTTATGAGAGTTAGAGGGCTCCCTGTGAAACATAGCTCATCCATTGTGCCAAAAAGGATAAAACAGAACTCTTACAATGTGAGGTTCACCTGTTATGAAGGTTCCAAAGATTCTGTGCAGACATGATTATTTTTTAGTTTTCAAGGGCATCATCCCTAGTCATTGGTGGTTTATATAAAAAAAATCTGTTAAAAGTTATTTTTCTCATTTTATATTTTCCTTTCTTTGTTGTCAAATCTATTTCTTTTGGCATCTCACTAACAATGTAAAAATATAACAGATAGAACTATGGCTCCACCTACAAGAATAGGACTTGCTGGTTTGGCTGTTATGGGCCAAAATCTTGCGCTTAACATTGCTGAGAAAGGCTTCCCCATTTCTGTTTATAACAGAACTACCTCCAAAGTTGATGAGACTGTTGAAAGAGCTAAACAGGAGGGAGATCTGCCTGTATTTGGTTTCCATGATCCTGAATCTTTTGTTCAGTCAATCCAGAAACCTCGAGTGATAATCATGCTTGTTAAGGCAGGGGCCCCTGTTGACCAGACCATTAAGACTCTCTCTGCATACATGGAGAAAGGTGATTGTATTATCGATGGTGGGAATGAGTGGTACAAAAACACAGAGAGACGAGAGAAAGAAATGTCTGGACTGAGTTTGTTATACCTCGGGATGGGGGTTTCAGGTGGAGAAGAAGGTGCACGACACGGTCCCTCTTTGATGCCTGGAGGGTCCTTTGAAGCTTACAAATACATTGAAGACATTCTTCTTAAGGTTGCAGCTCAAGTTCCAGATAGCGGCCCCTGTGTGACTTACATTGGCAAAGGTGGATCTGGAAATTTTGTCAAGATGGTTCATAACGGAATTGAATATGGTGATATGCAGCTGATTGCAGAGGCTTATGATGTGCTGAAATCTGTTGGAAAATTATCGAATGAAGAACTACAGAGTGTTTTCTCAGAATGGAACAGGGGGGAGCTTTTGAGCTTCTTGACTGAAATCACTGCTGATATATTTGTTATTAGGGATGACAGGGGAGAAGGTTATTTAGTTGATAAGGTTTTGGACAAAACTGGCATGAAGGGTACTGGTAAATGGACAGTACAGCAAGCTGCTGATTTGTCTGTTGCAGCTCCCACAATTGCAGCTTCTTTGGATTCAAGGTTCCTTAGTGGGTTGAAGGAGGAAAGAGTTGAAGCTGCTAAAGTCTTCAAATCAGGAGGACTTGGTGATATCTTGACTGACCAAACTGTGGACAAGGCAAAATTAATTGATGATGTAAGGCAAGCTCTTTATGCATCCAAGATTTGCAGTTATGCTCAGGGCATGAATCTTATTCGTGCAAAAAGCATTGAGAAGGGTTGGGACTTGAAGTTGGGTGAACTTGCTAGGATATGGAAGGGAGGCTGCATCATCCGAGCTATTTTTCTGGACAGAATCAAGAAGGCTTATGATAGAAATCCTAACCTTGCAAGCCTTCTTGTTGATCCAGAGTTTGCAAAGGAAATCATTGACAGGCAATCTGCTTGGAGAAGAGTTGTTTGTCTTGCTATCAATTCAGGTATTAGCACTCCTGGCATGTCATCCAGTCTAGCTTATTTTGACACTTATAGGAGGGAAAGAGTACCAGCTAATTTGGTTCAAGCTCAACGAGATTATTTTGGTGCCCATACTTATGAAAGAATTGATATGGAGGGATCTTTCCACACCGAATGGTTCAAGATTGCAAAACACCTAAAAGATTAATTTTCCTCCAGCGGTACACTTCAGAACCCCCAATAAGTGTAGTAACATCTGCTCTGGATTTTATGAGCATGGTTGTTTCTTTAAAATTTATCTCAACTTCATTTCTCAAATCCAGCTTCGAATTTAGACCCTGTCTCAGTGTGTTAGAAGTGGTGCTGCTTTTTATGTTGTTTCGAGATTTGAGTATTAATCAAGTCCGAGGCTCCATTTTTTACTTAAATGAGATATTTACCAAATATGGCTCACTGTTGTTAATCTGATGTCCAAACTTGGAGTTATAAGAGAAGTTTAACGTTTTCTTTTTGCTTGATAATCTTTTGTTCTTATTTATTTGTTTTCTTGCAATGTTAGATATCAACATCTTTTGGAGGGTCATTGATCCTCAGAATTGTTGTACAAACTCTTTGCTTTGATTTTGTTAATTCATTCCACGTTCTGACCAGTGTGAATGCCTTGTCCTACTTCACTCTTAGGTTAAGGCAAAATGTTCATTACTGCTGCAGAATATTAAATGGTGTATATTGCATTGTTTCATTCTTGAACTCTAGATCTATCAAATTCCTTTTGAAACTTAAAAATCAAAAGTTGCATATTAAATTATCATTATAGTGGCGGAATGTGCATTTTGTTTTCTCTAATCTAGTATAGCAGTTCACTTGCCAGATACATTCTTAATTGTCAATGCTGCTTAATGGGCTTTGGTTGTTAAATACACTGAAAATGAATTTCAGTACAGTTGCTGGTACCAATTGAGCTAAACCATGATTTTATACCATCATGTTGGTCAGTCTATACTCACTTTCTTCTTATTTTCTTTCTAACATCTGTAGTTTTATCGGTTTTATGGTCTTTTAGTGTTGTTAAGAACCTCAAAATCGATGTTTTGAATATGCCAGACAATCAAATGGAAAGGAGAGAGAGAGAGAGAGAGACAGACAGACAGACAGAGACAGAGACAGAGACAGAGAAGGATCTTATTTAGGAACTAGTGACTCTTTGTTGGCTATAGATATTTTACTATGACGTCCTTTTCTAAATAGTATATATATTCTAGGCTTCACAGGTGGGGTGAAAAACTCTTAAAAGTATGTTTTCATTTTGCCAAGTTCTATTTAACCATAAATAGGGAATTAAGTTCGGATTGTTGAGTTTGCATAATTATAGACCTAACAATTTGTGTACTTATGTTGTATCTATTTCGTATCAAACACATGTAAAATATTAAAATTGTCGTGTCATAATTAGGTTTGACACATCAAACACAAACATAATTTTTGGTTTTTGTGAAATTCATACCATTTTTGTTAAATTTAAACGTATCATTTTCAGTTTTTTTTTTTTTCTGTGTAGTGTTTTCATGTTGTGTTATTATGTCGTGTTTAAAATTGTTAGGTTTATATAATCATTATATAGATATATGGCCAATGTTTAAGACTGTTTGTGCAATTTTTTGTATTCTTCTGTCAGTGTATAGAATAATAATTCTTTGAGAGTATATAGTCACCTAAACCATTACGAGCAAGTATCTTTCCTTTATGTTGTTTGTCTAGATATGCAGATAACAACATCACTTGGGATGAACATAAAAATTAAACTTTTGGGGTTCAATAATTGTGTTTTCCTCGTATGCATTGTGGCTTATATGGCATTTTGTATAAGATGAATTGAAATGTGCACATCCTCTTTGTTTACTGGTTCTTTTATCATATTTTGTTATCCTTCAAGGACTGCACTTGGCTTGAGGTTTTATATTTGTGCAAAAGCAGGTAAGCTTATAATACAAACTTATGACTAGGAGCCGGTTTACATATATAAAATTTAATGTTTCTTTTGCATTATCTGGTATAGCTCCTTTTGACCTTTGCTGCCGACAAACCAAATGTGAATAAAAATTTCCAAGATCAGTATCTTGAAATGAATACGAAGCTCTTGCAAATGTGTCTAGTTGTGTTAGTTGTTGTCTTCCATTATGCTTGTTCATTAATCTTGTATTTGTTTTATTAGAACAGAATATGGCTTTTGCTGAGCATAGCTTTCAATCAGTAACTGTGGAACATGTTTTATATTTGCTATTCCTTTTTCTTTTTGACTTTGTTGTCTAGCTGTTGGACTTTCATATCTTCTTATAAGGTGAGTTATATATAAATTATCAATGGTCTGTCATTAAAAAATGTCTTCTTTTCTCCTCATGGATAGATCTTTCTTCTTTCCAGCACAGCATACTCTTTTTGTTCATGGCTTTGCACAACATACACACACATGAATAGGCGTCAGCACACTGTTGTTAAGAAATTCATTTCTCACCTGGTAAAAAAGTGGACAGTTTTTTCTGATTCACTTAAGTATGCTGCTCAAGTCAAAATGCAGCAATTTAATTAATTAGCGAAACATGATAATAGCTTGACCATTTTGTAATCTTGTTTGTTTATTGATACCAAAGATGTACTTAAAATTTGTGGTTGGAATCATAAAAACACTGCAAACTATAACATCTAAGTACTGAAAGAAAGAAGCAACATATTGTGATCATATATTCTTGGAAAAGACCTGGGAAAGAAAATACATTTGCTTGTCTGTAAGCTCCATTGAATACTAACATGTTTTCAGGGCTTTCAACCTGACTACTTGCGGTACTTTGGTTGACCTCCGACTCTGAGTCTCTTTTTGGATTTACCACTGTTTTCAGCACTCTTTTTCACTTCTTTCTTTGCCTCCTTGCGTGAAGAATGCTTGCTAGAGTAATCACCCTTATCGTGCTTGAGATGAGCATTGCTATGACTACCTCGACCGCCGATGTGTTTGTACTGATGATGAGTTGGTGCTGAAGAGGCATCAGACACCATTGAATCATCACTATTTCCCTCACCATCATCATCATCATCATCATCATCATTATTTTTGGTATTGTGATTGTTGTTATAATTGTCTTCACTGCATTCAGAATCATCTTGCATAGGAGAGACCAAGTACCTTGTCCACCCTGATTCACTGCTGCTACATCCTTCTGTTCTCAGAAAGTGTTTTAAGGGGTCCATTTAAAGAGGTTAAAGGTGGCTACCCTAAAGAGAATGTAGAGGTTAAGACGGTAATGCCAAAAGAAGGATGTTATTGAGGAAGAATGGAGGTAGGGAGATTATCTAGGCAAGAAGGGCTATTGTCTTTGGTGAAGTATGAAGAAACAGAGAGTTCTGGTTTAGTAACAAAGAACTAAGATCTTTATTTTCAGAGAGAAAGAGATACAGGGAGAGAATTCAAACTTCATATAACTCTTGTTTAGTACAAGCTTAGCTTTTACTTATATATTAGTTGGTGAAACTAGGAGATAGCATATTATACTTGACAATTTAAAATACATCAGTGACACGACATGAAGACATATTAAAAATTTAGCAAAAATCATATATAGATCTAACCAACATTAAAAAGAAAATTTTCGGATTTTTCGTGTCAACAAAACAACTTCAAATTTGTCTCTTATAACTTGAGAATTCAATTTTGAGATCTTGATTCAACCCTGAGATGACAGGTGAGATTTATGGGATAGGAAAGAGCAATCATTCATTGTATAGTCCAAGATCATATATGCCAAAAAAGAGAAAAACTCTGAATTTTGTCAAAAAATAAGAAGAAATGAAAATGGAAAACAGATAATCTGCTCTCTTTGTCAAAAGAAAATGTCTTCTGTCATTATCACCCTAGCCAGAACATCAGTTTTTTTAGTACAGTGTTGCAGAAATATAAGGGAACATATCTTTACACTAAAACTTCTCTGTCCTGTCACAATGGTGCAGATGAACCCATTCCCTCAAACTGGAAGAACTATGAGACCCATGTTCTCAAGCATGTTAGGCCACAGCCTCCCCACTTTCATGCATCTTCTTCATTTTCTTTCATGACTTATATTCTCTGTTTCCTAATCATTATAAGTTAGCTTTCCTGGATCAAAAGTGCATAGAATTTCTATGTCAGGATATACTTTAAGTAGAGTTTTCCTAAGATCTTTATGCTTTTGTTCTGTCTTTGTCTGCTGTTGTTTGTCTCCTAAGAAAGCTGACCTGTGTCTTGTTGCTATTGAAATAAAATATGGCATGGTTGCCCGTATTATTTCATATTTGGTTAGTGCTGCAGAAAGTCCTTTAGGTTTCCTGAGTTTTATTCATGCATAGCCTATTCTTTGGTCTCATATATGCGACCTGTGGGAATCATCTCAACTACAAGAAATACCACATCATCTTGGATTATTTGCCATGAAAATAACATCGATCCGATCAAAATGCAGGACACGATTGAAAATGGAAAAAAAACTGTATTTAGAAATGAAATTATTGTGTTATAAGTCAATAAGATAGTTTACTTCTTTATTAAAAAATAATGTAAAACTATAATTAATTTCTATAACTCTTTGCTAATCCTAATTAATTTAGAATTCTAAATGAATCTGCATTTTAAATAAAAAGAACAAAAACTCATCATTTCATCTTTATATTTTCGTTCAGTGAATCAAGTTGATTCGTTTTAAATAAAGTATATAGCTGTACGTAATAATTGATTATTGTTGATGGTGTTGTTGGCATTGGTTGGAAAGGAAGTAGTGTGGTGGTTGCATGAAGGATGGTTGAAACCTACAATAAGAAAGTACGATTAAGGGGCATTGGAGTTGGTCCGTTGAGATGTATTTCGACGCTCAAGTTAATTAAGTATTTAAAGTTTTAGGTGAGAAAGAAGGTAATCCATAAGTGCTTAAAAAGCTTAAAGAGAAAGGATTCTAGTTCATATCGTACTTTGGTCTCCTTTTTAACACTGTGTATAAGAGGAAAGACGATGGCATAACCAAGACAGAGGATAGTTAACTATAAATCCACGTGGAGTTTGAGTTACGTGAGTAATTGTGGCTGCATTTATTGATTTTAGGCTAGTGTGAGCTATATTGAATGATTTTAGGCAATTTGGAGATTGGTTAATCCGTTGTGATGTGATGCATTGATGAGATTTTAATAGAGGTAGTTGGATGAGTCCTTCCTTTGCAAGTGCAAGTTTATTTTATGGTAAAAAATCTAAATATTGATCCTCACTCGTAGTGATATAATCATCAAATTATCAAATGTATGTTAATTTGATGATTATGAGAGTTAATTTTGTTGTCTAAATAAATAAATACAATAACTTTTTATATTTTTGTTCAAAAAATTAAGTTAATCAATTTTTTTTTTATATAATTTAAGTACGGACTCTTGTTAATGGAACATTACTATAATTCAAATACAAAATCTAATATTTTTCATGTTGTTCATCTTCCAAATGTTTCACTCTACTATGGATTTAGTTCTTTTTGACTGAGGCCGAAATGCAAAATGTTGAAAATAGAATAACCAAATCAAATCTCCACTGTCGAATGCAATGATTTGGCTTTATGACTAATTCAATTGGTCTGCAGAACTACAGCAATGCTTGTGATTCATGTGAAAATTACTTGCATAGTGAGCACAGAAAAATTAATATTATAATAAAATTAATATTCGAATGAATTTTAACTTGCTCACGTTTTACTTGTTCTATTAGATTGCTTTTAAATTAGTCAACGTTGGATGATAGCTGTAATTATGGTGTGTTACAAAGCCATTTGGCTTTTTTTTTTTTTTAATATATATAAAATTTAAGCTTATATTAATACAAGTTAATGATTAGAACTAGAAGTGCAAAACTATGATGTTAGGTGAGGCGTTAGCTGAGGATCAAGGGTTGACATTCAATTTTAACTTAGGAGCTTTAAAATTAGTGTAGTACCAATTACCAAATGAGAAACAAAGGCGAGTCTACTAGGAGAAAAGGAAAAAATTGTATAAAACATTTATTTTTTTGTTAGTGTATCTCTTGTTTATTTAAATTATATCATATAATTATATTATTAAAAAAATTAATTATTTATTAATATCACAAATATGAGTTTGTTGAAATTAATATTCATTATTTAATTATCTCATGTAATATGTAATAAATAATTAATTTTTTTCATTAATATGATTATTTGATATGATTTGATTGGAAATGAGATATGATGATGTAAAGTAATTATTTCATACAATCCTTTTTCATCTATTACTGGCAGGTAGATTTGTCTATAGTTGGATTGGAACAGTTTAGATTCTATTAGTCTTTAAAATTCTTTGCCCAAGACTTACTTCGACTCTTTGAATTAAAAAGTACTACTAAAAAAATTAAAATATTTAAATATATTTTCATATTAAAATTTTATACATTTTAAAAATTAAATTAAATAATAAAAATAATTTTTTTTTATAAAAGAATATTTTAAGTCAAAGTCGAATTTGACCCAAATTTTAAAATTTATATTCAAGATCTGACTCAGAGTAAAACAAAACAGATTACTTGATTTATAAATAGGTTTACTACCAGAAATGCATCACAATGAAAGGAAATATGCATAAAATGAGAAATATGTGAATATGGATACTAACTTGTTGTATTACAAGACCTTATATTGTCTTAAAAAAGACAGTAGAGTCTAAGTTGAATTCGAAATGAAAAGAGTATGATTTATAAAATGGGAAAGGGTACTCCTAACTTGCTTAGTATACCACTGAATAAGAGATATTGGTGAAGATTGCTATGGAAGTGAGTTTTGAAGATCCCAACAGTTGGGAAAAGCACGTGCAAAAAATGTAGTAAGAACACTTTCTAACTTAGGTTGCTTGTCGGATAAATTAATGAATGAGATATTGCCTAATTGATTAAGATTTTGACCTTTTCTCCAATAATAATAATAATAATAATAATAATAATAATCCCAAATCCAAATATCCTTTTTATTCCAATCGTCAAAGACAAAAATATACTGTCGCATTAACTGCCAGAAAAAGAAAAAGGAAAGAGAGAGGGACAGTAAGAGAAAACAAAACCAAAACATGAGTGTTTGCTCAGTATTAATACATGTACTCTCTAATTCAAAGAGTTTGTAGTCTTTGAATTCTCATTTTTCCCAAATTTATCTCACATCAAAGCAAAAGGAAGGAAGACAAATCGTTGCAAAATTATTTTGCTTACTTTCCAGCTGGGATATAAAATATAATATATGTTTGTTAATTACATTTTCTTTGAAGAGCTTAGCTGTGCTCAGATCTGCTAATGTGCAACAAACATATGCCAAATATTTTTTATACGAAACTCGAAGCATGCAAGGCATAAGAGGAAATTATTACAATTTGTCTTATGTCATCTTTTTCTAATATTTGATGGTTCACTTGACAAAATGATGGTTTGGAGCATATAGAATATTTAAATGAGTTTCATTTTGGAATAAAATTCCTAATCTCCTCTTTCTTTCAAATTTTCTTAATGTATTTCTTTTGAATGAGGCTTTAGCTTGCTCAAAATTTCAATGCTCAAAAGTCAAAATAAGTTGTTCTGGATTATTTAAGTTGTTCAATTTTCATGGATTTATTTTAATTTTACGTTGATTTTTTTTGGCTGATTGGTTTATTTATTGATTTTTTTTTTTTGTGAATATACTATTTGATAGATATTGAAAGTTATTTGATTGTGATTGTAAAGACTTAATTTTGTTTGGATTTAGAAATAAGTTTTGAGCTAATTGTGATTTATTTTCTAGATTTTATTACATTTAATTTCAATTCAAAGTTAGGTTTGGGCCTAAAAGCTCAAATCCCTATTGTGAAGTCAAACGTTAAAACCCTTATTGTTTTTTATTTTTTTTTTATTTCTTTTTAAATAAAAATAAAGAAAAATACAAAGCAAAAAAGTCAAAAAAAGAAGGAATTGCTTTGGAGATGGCAAAATTGATAGGGGCTTAAAGTCCAAGCTACCAACCGTTTTTCTCAACATAATTTTCGGCAACAGAAGTCACCTCTAATATCTCTAAAAGTCTTATAAAATCTTAGAAATTTTGAGATTTGAAACTCCCAGTTGGCTTTATAATTGAAAACTGAAAATGCACTAAAAGGTGAGGCCAATTTCTAAAAAAATTTAGAGGCCAATTTTAGGTAAAAAAATCCCTCATTCTTTCCCTTGCCAATTTCTCAACAAAAATTCTTAATAGAAAGTGCCTAAGCAAAACTACTAAGCACCACATACCACCACCAAAAACTCATTCATAGTCCTAAAATCCCAAAAATAAACCACTTAAAATTACCCATCACCAGCTTTTACACTATTGTTTCACATTCAAATAAACTCAAATAAAAGAAAAGTGAAAAAAAAAAAAATAGCCCCCTACCCTTTGTTGCTAACTACGCACCATCACCATAACACACACACATTGATCGAAACCAAAGAAACAACCCAAC